CACCGCAAATTCCTCAGATTTACTGTGGGCCTGGACCATTACCAATTCACGGCCCTCCCATTTGGTATTTTCACGGACCCTTGGGTCTTCACCAAGTGTATGGTGATTGTAGCCGCTGCACTCAGAAAAAGGAGTACCCAGGTGTTCCCCTATCTAGATGACTGACTCCTGAGCAGGAGCTCGGAATCGCAGGTGCGAACACACATCACCATAGTGCGCGCATTCTTTGATGATCTAAGTCTTTTGTTAAACCTAACACCCACTCCGATAATAGAGTTCGTGGGAGCCACTCTGGATTCTACATTGGCGAGAGCCTCCCTACCCAAGTCCCGGTTTATAGCGATACAGGCGGAGATCAGGAAGCTCCAGAACTTTCCGGTGACCACCGCACGGACTTACATACGATTCCTGGGTCTCATGGCTGTCTGCACTTACGTCAGGCTGCACATGCACCCACTATAGATGTGGCTATCGTGAGCCCACAACCCGGTCGTCCATTCATGTGACAGAGTTGAGTCGGTCCCCGCTTCCGTCCTCCTTGTGCTGAACTGGTGGACCAACCAGGCAGAGGTCTCCACAGGGGTACCATTTTCCAGGCTGGTACCGTCCACCTGACATGTCATGGACGCGTCGGACACCGGCTGGGGATCCCACCTGGGAGACCTTCACACACAAGGTATGTGGACTGCAGATGAGCTCTCCCTGCATATCAACATCAGGGAGCTCCGGGCAGTCCGACTGGCGTGTGCAGTTTTCCTTCCTCACCTCAGGGGCAAGTCTGTCCTCGTCCTATCGGATATGACAGCAGTGGCGTACATAAACAAGCAAGGTGGGACCCGTTCCCCTCGCCTGTGCTTGGAGGCATTCACCCGTGGGAGCTTTGCATTGGGGTGGATATCCACCCAACTGCCTTGTACCTCCCGGGCTCCCAAAACGTCCTGGCGGACAAACTGAGCAGGTCCTTTGCAGGACATGAATGGTCTCTGAGGTGGGATGCAGCCCAATCTATTTTCCGTGCGTCGGGGTCTCCCCAGCTGGACCACTTTGCCACAGGGCAGAACACGAAGTGCCACCGATTCTGCTCCCTCATGGGACAGGGCTCACTGGGAGATGCTCTCTGTCTTCCCTGGCCGCAGGGCCTACTATATGCCTTCCCACCACTCCTGCTAATCCACAAGGTCTTGCTCAGGGTGCGGGAGTTCAGGGCATCCCTGATTTTAATCGCCCCAGCTTGGCCCAGGCAGCACTGGTTCTCAACCCTCCTTTACCTGTCGTGTGAGAGACCCATGACCCTCCTGCTGCTCCCGGACCTGATTATTCAGAACCTGGGCAGGCTCCGCCACCCGGACCTGCACTCGCTGCATTTGACAGCGTGGAAGCTCCGTAGCTAACGGCCGAGGAACTTCAGTGCTCAGAACGGGTCCAGGAAGTCCTGCTGGGTAGCAGGAAGCCCTCCATTAGGAACACATACCTGGCTAAGTAGAAACTGTTCTGTATCTGGGCTGCCTAGAAGGGGGTACACCCAAGGAGGGCTGCGATCCCCTTGATCCTGGATTACCTGTTACACCTCAGGCTCCAGGACCTCTCTTCCTCCTCCATCAAGGTTCACTTCATTTCGGCCTTGCACCCGGGGGAAGAGGGGGGAACCCTGTTTGCTAACCCAATGGACAACAGGTTTCTGAAAGGGTTGGACAGGCTCTACCCACACATCCGCCAGCCCGTCCCCTAGTGGGACCTAAACCTGGTCCTTTCCAAACTTATGGGACCCCCGTTCAAACCCTTAGCGACGTGCTCCCTTCTACACCTGTAGTATAAGGTGTCTCTCCTGGTGGCACTCACATCTGCCAGGCAGGTATCTGAACTCAAGGCGCTCACCTCAGATCCCCCCTACATGGTGTTTTTCAAAGTCAAGGTTAGGCTCCACCCCCACCCAGCTTTTCTGCCCAAGGTGGTGTCTTCTTTCCACCTCCCAGGATATTTTCCTGCTGGTCTTTTATCCCAAGCCGCACATGTCTGGGAAAGAACAGGCTTTACATACTTTAGATGTGCACAGGGCATTAGCTTTTTACTTAGACAGGACAAAACTATTCAGGAAGTCACTGCAACTCTTTGTGGCCATTGCCGAACAGGCAAGGGGTCAACCCGTGTCCTCCCAGCAGATCTCCTCCTGGATAACCACTTGTATCAAGGAGTGCTCTGCCCTAGCCGGGGTACCGCCTCTACCCCTTAGAGCTCACTCCACGAGAGCTGTGGTAGCCTCCACCGCTTTCATAATGCAGGTTCCCATCCTGGACATCTGCAGAGCCACTACATGGTCCTCTGTCCATACCTTCGCCAATCACTATACGCTAATGCATCAAGCCAGGGAAGACACTGCCCTGGGCAGGGCGGTCCTCCACTCCTCTGTAGTTTCAACATTCGGCCCTCCTCCATAGGTTCTGCTTTGGAGTCACCTAATTGGAATGCACATGAGCAATCACTCAGAGAAGAACGGTTACTTACCTCGTAACTGTGATTCTTTGAGATGTGTTGCTCATGTCCATTCCAAATCACCGCCCGTTGCCCTCTCTCTGGAGTATTCCGGTAAGAAGAAACTGAGTGGCTGAGGGGGCCAGCAGGGGTATATATGTGGCGATATACCGGCGCTACTCTAGGGGGCTCCCCCCGGCCCTACAGGTACTGCTGAGGGAAAAACTTCTGACGACGCATGCACGCTATGTGCACATACCTAACTGGAGTGGACATGAGCAACACATCTCAAAGAATCACAGTTACAAAGTAAGTAACTGTTCTTTTACAGCCACCTGTTCTAACATTCAGTGTTCAGTGCTATTATTTAGGTCTAATTTACTCCAAATGTCCTCTTAAGGTCCAATAGGCAGTGGAAGTGTTGGTAATGCTGCTAGAAAATATCGACCTCTTGTGATCCAGAAAATTATCTTGTTGAGAACTGGTCGGGTCCCAAGGATTCTGGACTAGAGAGGTTCAACCTGTATTGACTTTCCCCTCTGACTGGGTAATGGGCCTGTCCTGTCCATCGTCTTCCACTTGCTTCTAACGTATTTATAAATTTTTTTTGTTACGTTTTGTCATTGGCTAGTTTAATCTCATTTTTGTGCCATGGCCTTTCTAATTTTGTCCTTTCATGTTTATAGATTTTTAAAATTAATTATTCATTCTTCATACATTTACCTACTTTCCACTTTTTGCATGACACTTCGTTGAGTTGCAGGTTTTTAAAGATCTCCTAGTTAATATATAAATATCTCTTGCCATACTTCCTACCTTTCATACGCAGTTAGATATTTGTTCTTGTGCTCTTAATAATGTCTCTCTGAAAAACTGCCAGCTTTCTCAAACTGTTTTCCCTCTCAGACTTGCTTCCCCACAGATCTTACCTATCAGTTCCCTGCGTTAGCTGAAGTCTGACCTCCATTTTTTTCTGTTGTTTTCCCTCCTACCATTCCTTATAATCTACCATTTTATGATGATTTTCACCCAACCTGCCTTCCACTTCCAAATTCTCAACCAGTTCTTCCATATTTGTCATCTAAGATACTGATTTGATTTCCCCCCCTATAATCTCTAATTTGTCCCTGCTATGATTACCCATGTACATCCAGATCCTGAGCCTTCATGAAGGTCTCCATGTTTTTGAGTTATCTATGTGGCTTTTGTCTTCTGCTCCTATATGATCTAGTTTAAAGCTCACCTCATCAGGTTAGCCAGTCTGTATCCATTTTGAATTGTTTGTGAAAAGCAATTTTTTCCACTGATTCCTGATAAGCAAAGCCTACAAACAGTCTTCTTGTTTTTAGGCAAGCAGAATTTTACCTCTTATCATTAGTCTGGTTTGTCTAATAACTGATCAGGAAATATATTTTAAGTGACAATTGACAAAATTGTCAATATTTGTTTTGATTTCATGGCTTTTTGTTGGTTCTAAATATCTGTAATCTTTTGAAAACTAATTTTCTCGATGGAAAACTAAAAAGCTCCTTGCAGAAATTTGTTTTGTTGAAAAGACATTGGCAGCTGTTTTGTTCATAGAGAAAACTGAGTTAATGACTAGCAGTGGTGAAATCTGAATGCTATGAAAGTCTGAACATACTCAAATGAGTGAAATATGCTTTGTCAGCTTTACATTAAAATCATATGTGAACTGTTATAGTTCTGAGTGACTGCTAGTGACTCAGATGGATCTTAAACTTCTCAATAAAATATTTTAATTAGATGACTAGTACAGAACATAACTTTTTAAGGAACTCTCAGAGAACAGTATATTTCCTATTCTTAGGGATTGCAGATTTTTAGTTAAGTACGTCACAATTAAAAACTGAAGATTTTTTTTTTATATAATTCTGACCCTTCTCGTATGACCCTTTTCACTTGTTGGTACTTGTGTTGGTTATGTTAGTCATACAAATTCAATTTAAATCTCACCATAAAATTAGGATGCAGCTGTGATTGACCTTAAATCAGTGGTCCCCAACGCGGTGCCTGTGGGCGCCATTGCGACCACTGGGGCATTTATGTGCGCCCGCCTAGTGACCAGGGCCGACCCGAGCCATTCTTGCAACCCGGGCCCCCGGTGCATGCGCGGCCCCCACCTCAGGTGCGCAGCGCATGCGCAGTGCCGCTCCTGGGTGTGCGGTGCATGCGCTGCCCCGCCCCCAGGTGCCCAGCAGCCCCAAAAGGTTGGGGAACACTGCCTTAATGACTTAGATTACACTAAATTATTTTGTAGAATCTGAAGACTCATTTTTGCCACAGCCTATGCACTTTAATTCTGAAGATTCATCTTCAAGTGAAGATGAAGTGCAACAAAAAACAATATCATGTGAGTGGCTCTTGTGAATGGGTTAATAACTATATTTGGATATTTTTATTCCAAGGGCTTGGTATTGTAATATGGTTGGAAATAGTCAGGTAAATGGCTACAGGATAACATTTTTATTTGTGTGTAATATAGGATATAAAAGATATCCCTCTAAACTCACCAACTTGATTCCATCTACTCAACAAAACAAGTCAAGAACAACTGCAGATGTTTTGGGTCAAAATGGTCTCTGGTTTTTGGTGGCCCAGCTTGACACGTAAGAGTTCATTTTCAGAGTTGCACCACTGCTTCTCCTTCAAAGGACTTTAGATGACTATGTGCTCCTCTAAATCAAGATGGGCATGTAAAATTAAAGATCACTGATGACTATTTTGGCTGAAGGGAGCCATGTGACTGAGAAGTTAAATCCAGTCACTGACTGATTAGAATGCTCTTGTTCATCTATGAAATCTATAAAAGGCAAATCTAGCATTTGACTTGCCCATGCCTGGAAATTCTGTTTTGTGGGGGGACAGGAGGGCAGAGGAGGAAATGCTCTGGCCACAGGATGTGACGATGACTTTCTGCCTTTGCAGAGATCCTCTCTCATTCGGGATAAGGCTAAAGTAATAGGTAAATGTGTAAAGCAATGGCAACCAGGAGCACATGGCAGTCCAGAGGGCCCATCAGTAGTTAAAGCACATGGCAGATTCAAAGGACTAATTTAGAGCCGAGGAGACAAAAGCCTGTGAAGGCTGCCAAGGAACCAGATGTCTCTTGGATGGAAGACGCTCCTACCACACACTGAATCTTTGCTTCTGAGTGCTTTAATTCTTCACCTAAGGAGGAAAAGGAACATAATACACTGAGGTATTAACAACCTGCCATAGTCTGTGTGCTACCATGTTCATCGAAAAATTTCTGATCTAATTTTTTAATCTATATGCTTAAGGTTGCAAAAATCCTTTATTTTTGTTAAACTGATAAATGCGCTTTAAATGGTGTGCTGGACTTCAGTAGATTGGTATCTATTTCTAATAGTCCTTAATTTATGGGGAGTAATTTGCAGCATGGTATCTATGAAGTTTTCAGATTTGGTCTAATAAAGTTTGCCTCTATGGCTAGATGATACCTATATTTTTGTACAATTATGAGGTGAAGTTGAGTAGCCATGGTCACAGGCTGAATTAAAAAGCATTCCAATTCCATTCCCTTTGGAGAATTTTATAGTTTTAGGAAGAACAATCATTATTACGGCCAACTGACCAAATCTTAAATTTTCTGAGCCAGTGTGCCTCTGAATAATTCAGACTTTCAAATCAATATCTGCATTTCCCCTAGATTGTCCAGCAGGCATTCCAACCAAAAATAATAATTCTGTATTTTACAGAAGTAGCAAGAAGCAAAGGATAAGTCAATAACCAGCAAAGTTAGAAATCTGAAGCAAAAATAACTTTTAAAAAACCTTTGAGGATAGGAATAAAACACTAGGTTCTATATGCCATTTACTCTTTTTTAGCTATTATCCATTTTTAAGAAGCTTTGTTGTCTTTTACCCTGACTCTGTAGGGGTTTTGCACAGAAAATTCCCATTTATGTCAATGGATACATGACATGCAAAGTACTTGCACTGATTAGCTCGATGGGCCTTACACAGGAAAAATGTCCATGTATACAACAGTGTTTTGTTGGTCTGAAGACTGTAGGATAGACAATAGATGTTGGCAGGAGTGGCCCTAGACGAGCTGCCGGCAACTGGCGCCCCCACCTCCAAAGGCTGTTTATCTCGGCACCCTAGGCGATCGCCTAGTTCACCTGTATTGACGGGCCACGTTAAATAATACATGTTCTTAATCTTTCACTTTAAGAAACTAAACAAACAAACACACAGACAGATATCAATGACTGGTAGCATTCTGCTGTGTTTTAAAACTTCAGAAGACCAAAGTACTTGCAGTGTCCAAGAATAATACTTTGAGTTTAAGCAGATATGATATTTCATGACTTTCTTTTAGAAGTGTTCTATGTAGAACCTGATTATGATTTCACTGGTGGTGAAGCTCCCCACACTGAAGCTGAAGGAGCGGCCTTGGCCCAGCTGGTGAGAGGGTTGTACCCCCACAGTCCTGCTGGGCATGCTCCAACAGGAGACTGACTATAAAAGCCTCCTGAGCAACTCAGTCAGGGCTGATTGCTAAAAGGGAAGGAGACACAGACAGAGCTCTGGAGATAAAAGTGGAAATGCAGCCAGACCACCCAGCAGCCGCTGAGAGGCTACCTGAGGAGCCACAGCCTCGGAGTGAGACAGTGGGGAAAACATCTGTAAAGGAATGGTAGGAAGTAGCCCAGGGAGGTCAATTGTTTCCAGGGCTCTCACTGTGTTGCAGCAGGATTCCTTGCTGAGCAGGCAGTGGATTATACCATGCCAGCAGGGCCCTGGGCTGGGACCCAGTGGACTGCGAGGGCCCGGGTCTCCCTACCCTCTCCGTATCTACCCCATATAGGGGAGCTTTCCTACTAGAATATGGACTAGGCCTCTATGCCACATTACCCTGTATAGAAGGGATCTGTGTATGGACTCGGGCCACTGGGCCGTATTACTCTGAATAGAAGAAACTTGTGTATGGACTCAGGCCATTGGGCTATATTACCCCAAATAGAAGGGACTTTTGTATGAACTCCAGCCTTTGGGCCACATTACCCTGAATCAAAGAGCCTTGTGTATTGACAGGCCACTGGGATGCACTACTCTGAGTAAGGGGTAATAGGTATAGACTTAGGCCATTGAGGGGACCTGTAAACAGTCTTGGTGGATGGTCAAGTCACTCCAAAAAAGGAGTTAGATTCAGGGGCCTCCGAGGTAGGTTGCCCCTTGACATAGTCCCATTAGAATTCCAGATGGAAAATAAATATTATATTTTGAAAATTAAAGTATGGATTAGGGTTGGAGGGGTGGCTAAGAACTCAGAAGGATGGAGTAACGGATGTTAGTGGTCCAAAGGTTGGTGGTTCTACTGGAGCCAGTCAGCAGATACAGCAGAGAATGAGAAGAGTACATAGAAATGGAAGAACATAGCAGGCTCCCTGTACTTGATTTGTTGAATCCTATTCATTCTCAGATTATGAACACCAGCTCCCTGTGCATATTGGCTTCTGCCGAGCTGTCTGAGCCCTGTGCTGCTCCCTCTGCTCCCCACGCGCACTGGCTCCTGCCTGCCCCCCTATGTATTAATGTGTAACCACTGAAAATTTCAGCAGTTACACGTTTACAAAAATAAATGTATTTTAACATCCCAAATAGCAACTAGATATTAACTTGCATGCATTGCTACAATATCTTTAACTGATTCTTTGAGCCATATCTTTAATTTTTAATATTTTATATTTCATACTGTTTGAAGTTTCAAAATGAAAGGATTAACAAGGTTACTGGTTTTTTTTTTAATTCAAATTTCATGTAAATCATGGTTGATAAAGAATATCCCCCCACAGCGCAGGAACCTTCTTTAAATATCTAGTCTTAAGTTGCTACTGAAATATCAAATAATTCCTATCAGATTTTATGATTGCTCTGGATAATTCATTTATTTTATATACAATTCCCTGCTGTACTCTGTAAAAGAAAACCCTCCATTGTGCAGAAGTTAAACTTTATGAAACGTAGTGCAAACATGTTTTGCATAGTAGCAGGTAAAGAGTAAATGCCTAGGACATTCTGTAATAACCATAAGAATATTCATTTCTTGTTCCCAAATCATCTCAGACTAATTACTGTAATGTTCAAGACACTTGATACAGCAGATAGGGTTACCAGGTAGACCCCCCCAAAATACAGGACACAATTGATCGTAGGCGGAGGGGGGGGAGGAGGAAGAGGGACTGGCCGGGAGGGAGGCGGGGCTGTCTGGGAGGAAGGGGGCGGGAAGCAGAGCTGGTGGGGGCAGGGAGAGGTGCAGTGGGGCTTGCCAGGGGAGATCAGGAAGAGGAACGGGCAGGTGGGAAGCAGAGCTCGGGGGGGGGCAGGGGGGCTGACCAGAGAATATCAGGAGGGGAAGTGGGGGAGAACCAGCCAGACGGGAAGGAGGGGTGAGCAAATTGGCTGGGGGAGAGCGGGACTGACCTGGGCACTTGCTGCCTGTCCCACACAGGCTCCCGGCAATGCAGGAGCGAGGAGGAGGCTTCCCCTCCTCCTCACACTCAACCAACTGAGGGCTCCTGGTAGCAATTGCGGCCCCACCTCCCAGCTGGAACTCCCAGCAGTTCCCCGCCCATGCCAGGCTTCTGTCCAGTGCACAGCAGGGAAAATATTTTCTCTAAGTATTTATAGTTTTTTGTTTAAAAAAAGATGGATTGTGTAGTCTCCTTGCTGAAATGACATGATGCTATTGTAAGGCTCTGAGGTTACAGGTATAGAACTGGGGCTGCAGGGACACATTCTTGAACCTGTAAAATGTGCTATTGGAGCACTTTAAGCATATGGCAGCTGATTTGCTTACACTTGCCAACTAAATCAGAGTGACCTGGTGGTGGAAGGAGGTGGAGTTGGGGCAGTTCAAATAACTATGGAAACTTCCTGTTACTGCCACATCGGACCGTGCTCTTGCCTGCTTTCTGCAATTCCTATTAAATCCTGTTCCTGATTCCTGATTCACGTCTGCTTCACTCCTCACTCCTAGCTCCCCATTTGCTCCTCATCCTTACCTCTTTCCAGTTCCTGCACTTCCTCCTTGCTCCTGATCAGACTATCACTCCTAGCTCTGACCCCTAACTCCAACTGCAGCTCCACCTGTGGCTTTGGCATTGGTATTTTACCCTGCCTCAATCCTCAGCTTGGTGTTCATGGCATTCATCCAAGGGTTCTAAAAACTCAAATGGGAAATTGCTGAACTATTATCTGTGGTTTGTAACCTAGCCTTTAAAATGGCTTCCGTACCTAATAACTGGAAGGTAGCTAACATGACACCAATATTTAAAAAGGGCTCTAGAGGCGATCCTGGCAATTACAGACCGGTAAATCTAACTTCAATACCGAGCAAATTAGTCGAAACAATAGTAAAGAATAAAATTGTGAGGCATGTAGAAGAGCATAATTTGTTGGACAAAAGTCAACATGGTTTCTGTAAAGGGAAATCCTGTCTTACTAATCTATTAGAGTTCTTTGAAGGGGTTAACAAACATGCGGACAAGGGGGATCCAGTAGATATAGTATACTTAGATTTTCAGAAAGCCTTTGACAAGGTCCCTTACCAAAGGCTCTTGTGTAAATTACATTGCCATGGGATAAGAGGGAAGATCCTTTCTTGGATTGAGAACTGGTTAAAAGACAGGAAACCAAGGGTAGGAATAAATGGTACATTTTAAGAATGGAGAGGGGTAACTAGTGGTGTCCCCCAAGGGTCAGTCCTGGGACCAATCCTGTTCAACTTATTCATAAATGATCTGGAGAAAGGGGTAAGCAGTGAGGTGGTTAAGTCTGCAGATGATACCAAACTGTTTAGGATAGTCAAGACAGAAGCAGACTGTGAGGGACTCCAAAAAGATCTCACCAAACTGAGTAATTGGGCAACAAAATGGCAAATGAAATTTAATGTGGATAAGTGTAAAGTAATGCACATCGGGAAAAATAACCCCAACTATACATACAGTATGATGGGGGCTAATTTGGCTACGACAAATCAGGAAAGAGACCTTGGAGTTATCGTGGATAGTTCTCTGAAAACGTCCACACAGTGTGCAGCGGCGGTCAAAAAGGCAAATAGGATGCTAGGAATTATTAAGAAAGGGATAGAAAATAAGACAGTATATCTTACTGCCCCTGTATAAAACTATGGTATGCCCA